ATTATGTGCAAGGTATGTGAATTTCCATATTTTTCAATTTTTCAAACTCCTTTTAATTGCACCTAACTAATTTTATGAAAACTTAAGATTATGACATGCAAAGAATTCATGATAATAAAAGTGGAGGGTTATGCACTATAGATTGCATGAAGATCCATACATGAAGAAGGAACAAAATTTTACCAATCAAAAGGACGTGAATTGCTCGCGTAGAAAATATGAAGTAAAATAATAGGGTTTTGTTTAGGCATGTTAGTTTCAAATCATATGCACCAAGGACTGCTTTAAGACAAACAAAATATTTAATAAGTATTTCCTGAGCTTGATTACACTTGACTTGATCTATTTGAACTAAGTGTGTGCTTGAAATAGTTAAATAACATTTTATACTCTCTAATCATATGTTTGTTATTATCAACATCCAATAATGAGTTACAATACATGTGGCGTGCAAAAAAAAAAATAGCAAAAAGAGACAATAGAATTTTATGTTGAAAAACCCTAAAAGTTAAAATTAAAGGGCTTAGCTCAATTAAAGTAATTCACTATATATTTGTAAATACAACGGTATGTTCTTTTCTTATGACAAGGATAACGGGTTTACAATCTTACAATGAAAATTACACTTGTCTTTATATATCTCATAAAATATAGTTGTTAGGAAAATCAACAATAGTCATAGTATGACTACAATTGTTGCAAACAGTGGTCGATCAAGGTCGGTAGTCACCAACGGTCGGTGTGGTGACATGTGGTGATGGCAAGAGGTGGTCAAACGTGGCCGGTGGCTACGAAGGTCGATGATCAACAGTGGCTTGTGACTACCTAGATCGATGGTTACTCGTCGGGCCTTAATTCCAAAGTAGGCTCTAGAATTTCAATTCTTCTCTTCTTCTGCCCCTCCAAGTGAGGAGAGAGGGGGCCTATTTGTAGCTTTTAGGGGAAGGATATTTTTTTCATTTGATGCATAACTTCCCTAATCATCTGATCGGACATTCAATGATGATCCTTCTTTATCATAGGTGATATTTTTAAATATTTGGGTATCTTAATAGTCTTGTAATTGAGTGATCTTAAGCTCGTAGATTCCTTTCATCGAGACGCTCGATTTAACTATAAAAAATGCATTATTACTCCCATACTTTTGAACATTGATGTTTGTGTCGTTGAAAAAGTCTCCATAATAGTTTTAGATATTCCAAAAATTTGTACATTAGAACAAATGTCTTTAATATTTTAAATTATCTCAATTTCCTCATAATTGTTTTATGGAGTTAAATATCAAAACTGAGTGCAGAATGTAAAAAAATGGTGACATATACGCTTTTGGAAAAATACTTGATCATGTTGTCGATGTCACTGTTGGTGGTGGTTGCAAACATATAGGCACGTAGCCATGTATGTTTGGGTGCACGTGTATGAATATGCGAGCAAATAAGCTCAGTACTATTGTTGAGAAAGTAGGTGGATCCGAACATGAGTATGAGCGCGAGTTAGGGCATAGGGAAGTGCGTGGTGGTGTGCAAGTGTGATGGTGTGTGCGAGCACATGCACAAGCGTGTGTGGGTGTATCCGCTCGTAAATGTTTGTGTGCACGTGTTGGCATGATGTGTAGAACTATTCATGAATCGATCCCATTAGGAATGTTTTGCGCTCAAATTTTGATTTTTTCATCTTTTTCTGAATTTTTAACTATAAATAACCCTCTTGAGGAGGCGAGAAGTCACACAACTCTTCTAAATACTATGGTTGCTTGGTCTATATGCAGTAGTTGTTAAATTTTTTTAAGTTGTTGTTGCCTATCTCTGTTTACGCGATTGTTGCCTACCCCCATGTAGGCGTTTGTTGCCTATAAAATTCAGGTTGTTGTCACCCTAAGACAGTTATTGTCTCTCCTAGCCTAGGTTGTTGTTGACTACTTTCATTTTAGTGATTGTTGACTATAAATTTCCTATTGTTGCCCTTAGGCGATTGTTCCTCTAAATGGAGGATTTGTATATTTGCTTTCTCTTTGAGATTCTAATGTCTAAAGAATCCTGATCCCCCAAAAATCATATTGACGAGACAAGATCAATAATTACTGTGATAATGCATCTTTACAGGCTCTGACCAGATATAAGGTTATTTATAAATAATACAATTACAATACTACAAAATCATCTTATCTAAACTATCCCCTTTTGGTCCAAGATAATAACATATTGTAACTTGTCATTAAATATCTTGATGTCCCATATACGATAACTAGCCTAATCAACACCACATTTTCTATTAATTTTAATCAATTTGAAACCTAACTCCATAATTTATTAATCAATCTTGGGTATTAGACCCAACTGAAATGTCACATTATATGATAGATGTCACTTCATGTGGCGCCAATTAATGAGTTAAACTCAAACCTACAATACATATTGCCTTAATGTATAGAGTTCTCCTACTCGTAACTATATTTGATATCCATACGATTTCTAAACATCCTGCCAAAAAAATAAGATATTTTTTTCATAAAAGAATTTCACATATGTTTTGCAAATAATAATAATCAAAGAAAAAATTAGTTGAGCAAACATTTAAACTCATTTGATTTTGATTTTGTTTGTCAATTTTGTCTTTGTATAATTGTTTGGTTATTTGCATATTTTGTGCTCATTCTATCTTCAATATATTAACACTAATCATTTTTTTATATTTTAATTGTAGAAACTTTTTTCTTAGAGAAATTTAAATGTTGAATGTCACACATTTTTTTTTATCAATGTCTCTTGGGTATCGTACATAAGGAGCAGTCATATCAACAAGAATCACACCAAATACTAAACTTATGACAATGTAGACAACCAACCATATTAACACACCTTAGCTTTGTGGCTGCTTGAAGATCTATGTCTAAATTACATAAAATTACAATTTCAATAGATTATTGTAAAAAAGGCTTCAACTGATAAGCTCTTTATATAAATTACAGACAACTTACCCTGCACCTCCTCCTCCCTCATAAGAAGGTAAGCCTTTTGAATATCCACTTATTATTTCTTTTAGATATATATATAATTGACATTTTTTCACATAATAATGACAAGATTTATTCACATAATAGTTTTGACCAAGCTTATTATCCATATAATGTGAGCCATGACACATTCTTTTATAAAATTTTTTAAATTGATTACTATGAAAGAGGCCAGAAAGAGCAAAAATATAGATTTTAGTTTCCAATAAACACAAAATTCATATTATAATCTTTAACAAGATGCCTACAAGCAGAAATACGAGCATTATTTTTACGGCCCCTAACATTCTGACTCACCAAATTAGGACAAAATATATATAAAAAAAAAAAGAGGACAAAATAATGAGAAGAGCGAGTCTCTTTTCATCTCACTTTCTTAGTTTTGGGGAGACAAGTAGAAGAAGAGGGAAGAGCAGTATTAATAGCTGCACAAACCACAAGATTAGCCAAATCACAAAGAATATTATCATAATTGTTTCCTTTTGCCATTATTTTGAATCGTAGCAGAGCTTTCCTTTTGAATAAGTCTAACATTAATACTTAAAGAATTAGGCATTGCTAAGGAAACATCCACAGTAGAATTGTTGATAATATTCTCGGTTTGCAAATTATCTTGATTAACCACACCACAATCATTAAAAACAATAGATACATGATTAACAAAATCATAAGTTAATAGAAATGATTTCACCCTCTTCTTCATCAAATTCAATATTATCATAAGAAAGGTTCGCAGGAATATTAAGATTCAGCGGCATAGGTAAAACAAAATGAACTATATAATTAGAGACAAAAAGTAAAACATGCGGATTACTCCTATTTCTCCTATTTTGAATATGAATGAGAAGAGCAGAGCCAGCCTCTTTTCATCTCACTTTCTTAGATTTGGGGAGAGAAGTAGAAGAAGAGGGAAGAGCAGTATTAATAGCCGCACAAACCACAAGATTAGCCAAATCACAAAGAATATTATCATAATTGTTTCCTTTTGCCATTATTTTGAATCGTAGCAGAGCTTTCCTTTTGAGTATGTCTAACATTAATACTTAAAGAAATAGGCATGGTTAAGGAAAGATTAACCACACCGCAATCATTAAAAACAATAGATGCATGATTAACAAAATCACAAGTTAATAGAAATGATTTCACCCTCTTCTTCATCAAATTCAATATTATTATAAGAAAGGTTCACAGGAATATTAAGATTCAGCGGCATAGGTAAAACAAAATGAACTTTATAATTAGAGACAAGAAGTAAAACATGCGGATTACTCCTATTTTGAATATGAAAATTTCTATTATAATTCCCACAACAATAAACCAACTTCTAATCACAAGAGCTTGAACATTATAAATATTCAAAATCACACCCATAATAATTTATTGATCTTTAATTTCAATAGAAAATGAGTCAAGGATGGGAGAATCAATACCCACTTAAATCCTTTAGCACTTGAAAAATCAGCAGCCAAAAAAAATTCAAATTTACTCTTAATTTTAGAAATACCTATGATGGTATACACATATTCCAGAAAAACTATTATGGTTGTTTACAATTAGGGCTGTCAAAACGGCTCGTTGTTCGCGAACAACTCACGTTCGACTCGTTAAGAAGCTCGTGTTCGACTCGTTCGCTAAGTTAATTCGTTCGTGTTCGGCTCGAAATACCACTAATTATATATATATATATATATTTGTGTGTGTATTTTTGATGAGTAGTATTTTTAAAAAACTTAATTGACTAAAAAGGCTACAAAGATTTATAATCAATTAAAAATATAGAATAAAAATTATTTAATTGAATTTAAATGATATTTTAATATAAATAATAATTTTTAAATCTTATTTTAATATTTAATATGTTATGACTACGTGATTAAAATTATTAAAATGATTATTTCTTGTGTTGCGCTCATTAAACAGCCGAACACAATCACATTTCTGAGATCGAAATATAAGAGAAGCCGGCTCACTTTGTTCGGCTCGTTTACACCCTACTTACAATATATAGTTCGGACCTGGGACGAAAGAGAAATCTGAGATCTCCCACTCCTCTGCAGCAATGGCGGGGTGGATCTCCTCCAAGCTTAAAGTCGCGGAGAACCTGCTTCAGCAAATCGATCAGCAGGCCGCTGATTCCCTCGGCAAGGCCGACAAGCCCCAGCGATCTCCTTCAGCCGCTGATCTCTCCCCCGTCACTGCCAAGCTCAACCAGCCACCACGGACCGGAGAATATTCTACATCTGCCACGAAATTTCCCCTCGTCAAGAAATCGACGGCGGATATCACAAAGGTATCAGCTCCACAGTCCCCTTCTTCCTCCTCCGCCTCCCCAAACCCTACCCCAGATCCAACTGTCATCGATTGGACGGAGCTGCTCAGCTCACCCAGTCCGATCTTTCCGGATCCAGCTACTCGGGCCGCAGATGGAAATGCCATGCAACGCCCATCGATGTTGAGGGTCGTTAAGAAACCAGCAATATCGAAGAACGGAAAGGGTTTTATTAACCAGAAAGCAGCAGTCCCTTCCTCTCCTTCTTCCTCTTCTTCCGTTATTTCTTCTTCTAAAGAGGATGGAGATGGCGGAACCGAACCCCGTCAAGAAAAATTGCACAAATCGCTTTTGCTAAGTCGCGAAGCCTCGCTGATTAGTGAGGCTGGGAGGCTAGACACAGTCAAGGATTTGAAACAGATTAAAGAAGAGGGTACAAAGGAGAAGGCTGATTTCCAGTTTATTAATGTCCCCGCAAAACATTCATCAGGGAGCGATAGGGATTCGGCTTCGGATTTAGAAACGTCTTCCGAATCTGATTCCGAGGAAGAGACCCGGAGGGCGGAAGAGAGGAAGAGGCGGAGGGAGAAAATCCTTGCCGAGCAAGCGGCCAGAGCAGCGGCCGAGGCTATTAAGGAGAAGGAGGATATTGTTGCGAAATTGGAGGGAGAGAAACAAAGTCTGGAGAAGGTTCTTGAAGAAAGGGAGAGGCAGCAGGCGAAGGAGGCTTCAGATTTGCAGATGAGTATGATTGAGACCATGGAGGCTGTGGAACTGGAGAAGCAGAAGCACAATAGTACCAGAATGGAAGCCCTGGCTCGGTTGGCTGAGCTTGAGACACAAAATACGGTGCTTGCAAAGTCACTTGCGACAGAGCAATGGAATCTCGAATTAACTATGAGTCGTGTAGCAGAACTTAAACAGCAGGTTGGATTGAAGGAACTAGCCCGAGAAGAACTTAAAAGGAGAATGTCAGCCATCAAGAAACGAACATCTTCTCCGGGTATAGTGGAATCTTTGAGAAAGGATAGGGTTGAGAGAGAAATTCTGGATCCCGAGTATTCTTTTACTTGTGATAAGATTGCAAGATTGAAGGACAAGTCAAGGTGGCTCGAAGAGAGCATTGGGAAAACAAAAAGGGAGATTTTGCAACCAACTGAAGTGGAACTTGAACTGAAGAAAAGACTAGGTCAATTAACTGATCACTTGATTCAGAAACAGACACAAGTTGAATCACTTTCTTCTGAGAAATCAGCACTACTTTTTAGAATGGAAAAGTTATCTAGGATGCTTAATGAGAATGGGTTGTCAATGGAGGATAGTGAATTTGAAAGCCTGGATATTGAAGCTGGGAGATGGCAACGTTCTGATCATGCTACAAAAGCAGCTCTTCGCGAGAGAATTAGATCTGGGCGACAACAACTTGGATTGGTTATTCGCCAGTTGGATGCTATTTTCTCTGCAGGTGCAATATTTGTAAGGAGGAACACAATGGCCCAATTTTTTTCCTTTTTCTACCTTATATGCTTACACCTGTGGGTTTTGTATATACTAATGTCACATTCAGAAGTTTCTGATGGAGCAAACCAAGGTACTTCTTTCTTGGAGACCACCAGAAATAGCTCAGGTCACTAATTTTTTCCTCCAATTTTTGTGAATATTTTTCCATCTACACTATTAATTTTAAAGAAACAAGTATGCAATATTTTTATGGTTTATAGTGGTTTATAGTTTGCAATATTTTTATGGTTAGTGCAACTTTCTTAGACAAGTTGCAGTTATTGTGCCAAAAGTGTTTTTTTTTTGTGTGCACGCACACACGTGCACGTGCACAGGAAGAGGTTATAAATGGCTACTGGCATGCATAGTTGAATTTGATTATTATGATGGATGCATTAATGATTAACCTTTGTATTTTGAGTATTTGAATATATATTGAATTGTGACTCAACAACACCAGGCATAAACAAACTTAAGTGGTAATAAACTTATTTTATTACCCATGCAGAATAAAAACTTTATAGCATAGGATATTATGGTTTGATAGTATCGTGCTGCTTTTAGTTAGGTTAGGCTTAAGAGAGTGTATTGAGGAGTGGACTGTTTATGTCCAAAACGATTTATTGTTTACAAGGAAAATATTGGATAATCTTCTAATGCTGGGAGGAGCACTCAGTATGGACTTTCAACACCCCCACCCATTCCTCAACTAACAAAGAGCTTTGTAGACGTTAGTTCTCTTTTTTGAGAGATGCTCATATGGATTCTTAAAGGTTTTTTTTTTTTTAATATTGAATCAAGGTTTTAAACATTTAATTTTTTTATTGCTTAATTGCTCTTATAAATTTTCTTGTTACCAATATCCACCTGGAATAAAAGTCTTAGACAAAGTCTTTCTTTCTCCCAACACTTCCTTAACCAGCAGGTGAACACACTTGAAGCAAAATCAAGCAGCACGGAATTTTGGTTCCAAACACTGTATTAGGGATATCATCTGAATGCATTTTCTGAACAATCATAGTATTTTTGGCAAAAACTTTTTTTGATGAAATACAACTCGATAACAATGTGCTTGATTCTCTTATAAAATACCTATTTCTTCGTAAGATGAATTGCACTCTAATCATCACACCATATTGTAGTTTTCATTGCTTTTCTTCTCAAACTCAAACAATCCTTTCATTCAGATTTCTTCCTTTATTGGTTCACCAGTAGTTAGGTATTCTGTCTTTGCGGTTGATAAAGCCACATTTGATTGAAGATTTCCTTTATATCCTTTTTTGGTGTATGGTTAAGATATATCCAATCAGTGATTTGTGCTTGTCCATATCACCCCTATAATCAGGCTTCAGACAATTTGCAATACGCTCTTTGCCCCAATTTTACCTTATGTGAGTTAATCCAACATAATTTGGGACCCTCTCAGATATTTAAAAATTTATTTAACAGATCTTTGATTTTCTTTCCAAGTTATATATTTACACATCATATTCATTGCACAGGTTATATCTTGTTTGGTACATACCACACAAGAACACGGTCAGTAGGATTTACATACAAACTTATATCCATATATCTCTGATTTTTCTCAATTGTTGGTGACTATGCGCTTGAAAGCTTTAACTTTGAACCCAAGACAAAAAAGACTTGGCAGTATTCATTTCAAAGATTTTTAGAACTATTCAAATATAGTTGTACTTAGAAAAATATGAGAAACCTTTCTCTCTTACTCTTATCACATCTATCACAAATATATGTCTGGCCTAACCAAAGCTCCTAATATTAAATTACTTCTCAAGTGATGGTTTTAGTTTTCTATCTCCACCTTACTGTCACTAGTTATGAGCATACTATCAGCATATGAAAGCAAATCTATAACGCTATTTTCAGAGAACCTCTTATGGTCAACATATATATTTTAATCACTCATCTTGTATAATTATTAATCATAAATGAGTCAAATCTATTATACCATTATAGAGAATTGAGACTGCTTTCACCCATGTAAAAGTTTTCTAAGAATAATTTTTTGACCATATTTAATGTAATCCTTTGGCTGGTTGATATATGTGTCATCCTTTGTTTTTCATGTAGAAAAGCTATTTTTACATCCATATATTCTAATTCTAAATCATACTAGACTATAATAAACAAATTCACATTGATTAAAGTGTTTTGCACAATAAGTAAGAAAATCTCTTTAAAATCTGTATCTTCTTTCTGAGTGCTAGCTTTTGCCTTTAACCTTGTCTCATATCTTCCTCGATCAACATCTAGAATACCTATTTTTAATATATATCCATTTACAACCAATGAGTTTTTTATTTAGTGATTTATTCCCAATTTTTCAAGTGCAGTTATTTTCAAATGATTCCCTTCCTTATTCGGTCTTTGTCTAAAATTTTCTCTTCACTACGTATTGCTGCCTTGTATGAACTTTGACTTATCTTTTAGCAATTGTTTAGTAGCATTAGAAGCATATGCAGTCAAATCAGTAAAATATAGCTATTCACACACTCATATATATTTTTTTGCTGGATCTCTTTCTAGATTATAATTCTCCAAATTAGTTTGATCCTGTTGTGTAGCAATATCTTTCCGATGATCTTGACTACTGCATATTATGTCCACCTGCAATTGATGTTTATCAAAGATGACTTGCAATTTCACCATACCTTCAATACTAACTTTGGTTCTGTATTCCTTTTCAGTAATTAATCCAATTATCTCTTTCCGATGATTCTGACTATGGCCTTATGTCCACTTGCAATTGATTTGTATCGTTGTTCACTTGCAATTTCACTATACCCTCATTGCTGATTGTGGTTCTTTATTCTTTTTCATTAATCAATCCAATCATCATATCCTACTACTAATTTAAGATCCTGATTATAATACATTTGGATTTATTTGTTAGATAATATCTAAACTCTTTTACTCACATTGGATATCCTAGGAATAAACACCTTTTAGACTTGGCTTTTATTTTCTCTGATTCATATGAATGTACACGATACGTTAAAAAATTTTTGGATTGCTTTAATATGGATTTTTTTTCTTTTCCAGAATTTCTTAGGAGTTTTGAATTCTAGAGTTATTGATGGACTTCTATTCACTAAGTAGCAAGTAGTGTTAATTGTTTCACTCTAGAAGCATTTATTCATTTTTGAAAATGATAACATGCATTTATCTTCTCTGATAAAGTTCTGTTCATTCTCTCAGTAATGATATTCGATTATGGAGTCAATTTAATTATCTTATGTCGGGCAATCCAATTGTCTCTGAAAAATTCAATAAACTTGCTATATAAATATTCAAAATCATTCTCAACCACGTTATTTTCTTCAATTTTTGATTTTTTATTGAAGCTTTTCGTGTCTCAGACGACTTGAAAGTTCTCTTCTTATGGTTTGCAATATCAACCCCACCAAGCATTGTAATAGAAGTCCCCAAATATCTGATAAATGCATTCAATACTCTCTTTGATGTTATGCATTGCTGCACCAGACTTTATCTTTGCCTGTTTCCCTTAGATATAATGCTCATAGAAATCAATATTATCCACCTTATCTATCTCAAAGACTGTTCAGTTAAAACATCCAAATTCTTCCGACTAATATGATATGGTTGAAGGTTCCAAAGTTTTGTATGATCTATTTTTATTTCATATTAAGTATCGATTGAATGAGTCACAATTTTTCCCAACAATTAATATATGCCATTCCTTCTCGTTCCTTTCAAAACCTTGATAACTTTTACCAGTTCACTTTCAATATCTTAAAAGTGAAACCTTGGGCATTGAGTATGGTAAGAGACAACAAGTTCTTTTAAAGTTGGCGCAAGTTTGACTTCAATTGCCAAATTTGAGTAATCTTTTTGACCAGGTAAAATGGTGTTTTATAATAAGTGATTATCGATCAAGAATATTATTCATTAATTCATTATATTATTATGTGAATTAGAATTAAAAGTTTTCATTAAGTTTTGCTCTTTAAAAGATTACATGCAATAGCTAAGTATATTCTTATTTAAAATGCTATTTGGTAGTATCTTTCTCAAGCATCAAATTTAGACGTATTAAATTGACATTGGTAAGATGATCAACTAAATTAAGCACAAGATATATCAAGTAATTCTAAGAATTAACACCACAACATTTTTTTCATTTAGTGAACAAATTGTCTACACATTAAACCCTTAAAAAAACTTAATTCCTTATAAAAATCATCAAATAGTACAAAACATATGAGTTTATTATAACATAATATACAAAAAGAAGAAAATAAGATTAGGATGATATAATCGTCAAATAATTGAAATAAAAAAAAATTGTCCTATGCTATTTCTCCTTTCTCCTTGTTGTGACTCTTACTCATTTGGTACCACTTACACTCTCTAAATCCACTCTAAACATTCAACACTAAAATTATTTAAAAGTCTCTCTAAAGTATACTGTCACTCACTTGACTCTCCATATTGACAGCATGTGATCCCCCACATTAACTGCCTGTTTAACTCCGTTGAGTAGCTTTGAAATTGCTCCATACTAAATTTGTTTGGGTTGTTGTGCCATGGCGCTACAACATCTGATTTTGAGGTATTACTTGTAGTGCTGCAACGCTAAGAGTCAATGTCAAGACATTAAATTCTATGTATTTTTGGTTGATTTTAGCTCCTTCTGGCATTGAGGCGTTAAAAAATGTGGCGATGTAGTACAATGCTTTCTGTCTTGAAGTCTTTATCCTTCCTTATTCGGGTGCTACAACACCGTAATCTAGCGCTTCGTCTTAATGCACTTGGTTTTTGAATAGTATCTTCACATCTTTAATACTGTAGACTAGATGATTCTGAAGTGCCTTTGTCTAGTGTTAGAGATTATGCTTTCTATCTTTTTGCCCATTTTCTACTCTAGACATCGTGACACTTGATACAACACCTAGGCGCTATCATGATTCTTTTGATTTTTGCTCCATCTATTATCTTATGGGATATCCATTAAAAAATATTAAAATTAGTGATAATAATAACAAAATGATCTGATTTTAAATATTTATTTTTATTATACAATAGGACACAATAGAAGAAAAAAATTCAGGTAGCCGACCCCACTCATTGGGATATAGGCTTGTTGTCGTTGTAATTTACCTAACTCA